CAAGTCCAATTGCTTTGATATATTATACATATAGGTACTACATGTGGACCTCTCTCAAATTTGTTCATTTTCTAATGATATCTTCTGTTCTTTAATTGCCATGTGCATTGCTAACAGCGGAGCTATCTCAGCCGACAGGCTGCTTGTTAAATGTTTTTGTCTATGTTTCTCTTTGCAGATTGAAGCAGATGAAACAAGTGGATTAGAAAGTTGTCAGTCGCCAATAACACCTGGTGAAAATTACTGTAGGATCTATGTTAACCCTGCTGATATGGACAGTTTTACTCATGAGAGTATTCGCTCAGGACTCATGCCACAATTGTACACAACCGGAACCAATGCTAGAAAACAAACCTTCACCGAGTGTCTGCCGAAAAAGACTCTTTATTCAAAAAAATGTGGAATGGAGGTGTGCCCATTACAGAGGATAACTACCACTGTGACAGTAGAAGCAGCCAATCCAATGTATAGACTGAACAATAATTCAGATATGGAAAATAATAATTTGCAATTACGACATAGCTCAGCTGGAGACAGTGAAAAATGTTTGTCTATTGCTAAAGTGAGAGATTCAGTAACGAGCTCAACGCTGTCGAATCAAACCATCTCAGAAGTGGGAAATATCACATGTAGTATAGGGGAAACAGTTATTGATAATTATGTGACTTCAAATTATAGTGCATCAAACGATTCAGAAAGGGAGTCAGTATGCCAGACGACTGTTGAAATACATAGTACACATGTCTCTCCTTGTAATATTCATGTACCGCTTTCAGTGAAAACATACAATGTCAAATCTAGTGGACGTCCGTCATCCAGTCGTAGCTTTCATAGTATATCAGCCCCACTTTCATCTGACAGTGATTCTTATGAGGACTATATACATGAAACACAAAGCAAAAGTTATCCAAGGACAAAAAAGCAGCGGCAAAGAGAAATGCATGCACGCCGTCGCAGAGAACGTAGAATCTCGGAATCACGTTTGTCGTCATCTTCGGGCAACAGTGAGTGTTCTCACAATTCACTATGTAAAAAAAGTTGTGATAAAAAACAGAAGGGATCTGTAGCATCTTTTGGAATCCCTAAATCTCATAATTCTACAGATTCTGTCAGTTTCAAGTCTGTTGATGTCTCAAGTCCAACCCGGCTTTCAGTCACCTCTAACTCAAGTAAAAGTGGAAATTCTTTGCACTCATTATCAAGCACAGTCCATAGTAATGAAGCTCTTGAGTTGCACCAAGAAAAACACACAGATTCTGATATTGAAAGTGGGAAACCCCAAAGACCCAGCTCTTTGGAAATAAAACCTGTACATAACCTTCCTGCTCCGAATGTTTTAAACAAAGTTTCTCCATCATCACCAAATCCACCTGAGAGGATGTTGGTGCTTCCAGGACAAATTCACAGACGTTACGCTCCACTTTGCAAACCACCCAAGCTACCAGAAAGATGTGCTTGCAAAGCATCAAAAAAGAAAACTAAACCAAAGCAGCGTCCCAAATCACTTGCAGATTTTAAGTCATTCAAAGATGCTAAGATACTCGTCGCCAAATTTATTGATCAGTCTAACGGTACTATGTCACCGGCTGTGAAGAACGTACTGGAAAATATACAATGCATGATTAAGTCAGATGAGAAGCATTTAGCGGAAGCCATCCATAGTGCTAATGTGATTGGTCATTACACACGGCCAGTGTCACAGGTGACAAAACTAGACGGCATCCCGTGTGAAAACTACGACAGCAAAGATAGTCTGTATAAGAGCAGTACTAGTCTTGGTAGTCGATATTGGAATAGTTGCTCAGAACTCACTGCCCTCTCAGACCACACTGATGATGAAATAACTGATCAGGCTGAGGATTTTGTAAAAACCTTAACAATCTGTAAAGAAACCGTCCTTTAAGACTTGCATATAGAAGGTTGGTCACATGATCCATGTGTTAATTTTCTCTATTACATCATTCATTGGTATGAAAATGTCATTGAAAGCATTAATAACCTGTAACTATTAACACATGTGGTTTTGTCCTGTGGCTGTTGTGTTAAATTAACCCATTAACAGCAATAGAACTAAATACATGTGGTGTCTATAATGGACTGACCCATTTATATATCTATTATATATCTAAAACAAATCCTCACTTAGGTCATCAATTCTTTTGTTTAAAAAAACAGTTTGCATGTATGTTAAAACTTATTTGTTCTTTATTTGTAAAATTTCTTATATTACAACAACGTGCAATTTTCTAAATCTAAAATTCAAACATTGTATCAATACCCATTTCAAAGTTCATCTTTCAGTTTTCAAAATGTCCTTAGTGATATACTGGTAACCAATCACTATATGCCTAGTACAGTATATGTAATTTATTGCAGTAAATTTTTTACACACAAGATTAAATATGTTTACATTGATGCATGGCACTTCTTAAGACTGCTCGTGATATTTTGTAGATGTAGATGTGCTCTCAAATTATGAAAATTCCTGGAGATTTTACAGAGATTGAAGTTGTCATCTCCAAACCCTATTAATGATTGTTATTGATAGATGCTTGATACAAAAAATTGTATTAAAATGTGATATTTGTCAAAACATTAAAATATAATTCAAGCCAGACCTCCATATTTCTGAGGGTATTGCCCTCTGGTGTCACATATTTCTGATCTTTTGTTTTTATGAAAATTCTGCAATGTATCAGTTTAATAGACTTGAATTGACTTCAATTTTGCCAAATGAATTACTGCAAATAAAATAACTCCAATTGAATAAAATATTTTTTATATTAGTTGCTGGCCAACATTTTTTTTTAGGGTTCAGGTCATCCACAAGTTTAGGCAGAATTTGAGCTTGCTCTTCAAGTTAAGAAATATTAAATATGTTTCATGATTCATGTTTTGTATATATTACCATCTATCTTGTGTATTTTCAACATACACAGTTTATGTCGGTGTAAATATCACTGTGTAGGATTGTTTTTATGAAGCTGAATTACTCTCACATTCGTGTAAATTTGTGGCCATATATTTGAAGCTCTTTCATTGTATTTTCATTGATATATGTGTGCGTAACTACATCCACCATTATAAAAATGTTGCCTGCTTACACTATGCTAACTTGCATATGGCTTATTAATGTGATATCTGAATTCATTTCTCTCCATGTGATAAAGTCTTTCAGTCATGCTACATGTTGATGTATAACCACAAATACATGTATTATGTTAAAAACAGACAAAGATATCACTATGAACCCCCCTCCATCTGATTGAAATCTGTTTTGTATGGCATGTATTTTTTTAACTTTATATATTTTATTAGTAGTATATTTTTTATTTTTTTTATTGTTATGAAATTTAATTTTTTATAATTTTAACTATTACCGCTTGTGAGCTTTTGAGATTACCAAATATGTAAAATAACTGCCAGCAAATAAACAATAAATTACAATAATATAAAATATATTAAAAAATTAATAATTAAATGCATATTTAAAGTAGGATCTTATTTTTATCAGATTATTTCCCAAGGCTATTTTATAGTGTTTTTATTTTTAGCTGAAACTCTTGAATTTAATTATGAGTACAACTATTGTGACAACAATTAGCAATTTACTCAAAATTTCTAATGTTTTTTGTGCATGTAATTTTTACTGACATGAAACATAAGATACTAGGTTTTTGTACATACATGTATGATGATAACGGTTACATGAAAAAACAGATGCACTGTGTAATTGTACTTGTAATGGCGACTG